AAGGGGCCTGGCGGGTGGGAGAGTTGTCAGGCTGCCCAGCGGTGGCTGGGGGGTACAAGGGTGGCTGAGGTGCAGTGTGGCGTCTGGGGTGTAGGAAGGGGAATAAGGAGACCCGCTGGTTAGTCAGGGAGATTGGGGTTGTAAGGGTTGTTAGGGTTGTTGGGGAGTACGAGAGATGACAGGGCACAGCGTGGTGACTGAGGGGCAGGAAGGGTGTCAGGGTGCTGGGTGGTGGCTCTGGGGTAGGAGGGAGGTTGGGGATGAGGGTAGCTGGGGATTGGAAGGGTGTTGGGGTGCTAGGTGGTGGTTGGGGGTACAAGGGGTGGTGGTTGGAGACTACGCAAGGTGTCAGGCAGTAACCCAGCGAGTATGAGGGAGGCTGGTGTCAGGGCAGAGGATGATGGCTGGGGGGGCTCTGAGGAGTATCAGGGCACAGCAGGATGTGAGGGGTGTTGGGGTGCAGGACAGGGCAGGGATGGGGGTCGACCAGGTTCTGGCAGGGGCAGGTTGGGGGTACCTGGCCCAGATTGACCATCGGGGGCTGAATGTTCCTGTCCTTCCCTGCAGGATGCAGCGGTGGCCAGTCCTGCTCTTCCTGGCCTGGGTCTGCTTTCTTTTCTTTGCTGGTATCGGGCTCTTCATGAGTGGCTTCCTGCTCACCCGGATTGAGCTTGCCAACAGCAGTTCCTGCTCAGACCCCCTCACACCACCACCTTGGGACAGGCAGAGCCTCCCGCCGGGCTCCTGCTGGATGCCCCAGCGCTTTTCTAAGGCTGTGCTAGTCATCATTGATGCCCTCCGGTTTGAGTTTGCCTGGTTCAACCCGGCCAATGTGAGCCCACTGCCATATGAGAACAAGCTGAGTTTCCTGCACCACCTAGCAACCTCCCAGCCCCGTCATGCCCGCCTCTACCGCTTCCGAGCCGATCCCCCCACTGCCACCATGCAGCGCATCAAGGGCCTCACCACCGGCTCATTGCCGACTTTCATCGACGTGGGTAGCAACTTTGCCACCTATGCAATCCAGGAGGACAACCTGCTGGCACAGCTGGTGCAGAACGGTATGTGTGCTGGGGGTGGAGTCCGGCTGGGAGAGGCCATGCATAAAGCCCAGGTCAGCATTTGTGTGGGACCTTTAATCCTCTCTTCCCCTGGGAAGGGGACCGGGTGCAACACCTCAACCCTTTCACTCAAGGGTCCTTGGCTGAAGACCACAGGGGTCTCAGTCAGCGTGGTCACGCAGGCAGGGTTTCTCTGCCTTGTGCTGGGGGTGAGAGGCAGCTGTAACCTTGGGTAGAATTTCTTCAAAGACAATGAGAGAACAGGTAATAACAGCCGTACTAATGGTGACTGTTGCAAGGTCACCGCCAGGAGCCGCTCTGGGAAGCCAAGGGCATTGCCAATCAGTCGTGTTTGCATTCAGGTGAGATGCACAAGGCGGGAGGAGCCGGTGCCAGGTACGCTGTGGAGGTGTCACGCAGGCAGCAGGGCTGCCCAGCCAGCCGCCTGCGAGTGTTAGGCAACTACCTTATCTCACTCTCTATGTAATTTGGTGCTGCATGCATATATTTAGAGAGCGCAGCTTTAAAGAGCATCTTGTTAGGGTGGGACGATGGAGTAGAGAAAAAGGGACAGGGTGCAGTCCTGTGAGACCCAGAGAGATTCCCTTCCAGGGCTCCAGCTGGCACAAATACCAGTAGTGCCTGTGCCTAGGATGGGGTGACACTACTGAGTTGTCAGCTCCCCATGTACGAGGGTAAGATGGGCAAATGCAGTAAATCATCAGTAGTGAAAAATGCTAGAAGGAAACCCCGTGCTGTAGCAGCAGCTGCAGAGGAGACAGTTCCTGCTCCCAAACTGAAATCTCTCTGAAATCCCGGAGGGGGTAGCTGGCAATAGATAGGAGAAGCAGAGTGAAGACAATTGGAAACATCCGTGCTTTTGCCTTCTCTGCATTTGCAAAACCACTGCTGTCGTGTTTAAAGTCTGAGCCTAGGACTGAAGGCTTCTGCCCAGCCCCTGTCTGTCTGTAGCCATCTTTTGTCTTGTATTCTACAGTGTGACTGTGAGGCCTTTGGTTTGAGACAGGAGGGTTCTTTCCTGCGCTTCCCTTCGTAAGTGCTGCAGTGATACAAATAAGTAACTTTTTAGCCTGTTCAATCCATGGATCTTTCAGCTGAGGGGACATGTCAGAGCTTAATGATAGGTGATGAGGTTGAGCTGCTGGATTTGGTGCTGGGACCACTTGTAGGCTTAGGAACAGGGCTAACTGTTCCCCACGTTCAGATTTGTTGACAACCAGCTGGAGTTTTTAATTGTCAGTCACTTCAAGTGTGGGTGGGAGAAGAGCTCCAGACCCTGTCCTGGATCTGCCCAGACTCTTTGCACTAGTGTGGATATGAGCATGACTCCAGCAGGCTCCTTGCTCTGATTAATTCCTTTCTTGCTTCCCCAGGAAGGAGAGTGGTCTTCATGGGAGACGACACTTGGGAAGGACTCTTCCCCAATAAGTTTTTCCGCTCGTATTTCTTCCCTTCTTTTAATGTGAAGGATCTTCATACTGTGGATGATGGGATCCTGCAGCATCTCTATCCAACTGGTAAGCAGCTCTTCCCCAGGGGCCAGCTGCACCTTTATGTTATGCTGGGGTCCTAGTGCAAATTTGGGGTAGAACTGAAGAGTTTTTTCTTTTCTGGGGTGGCAGCGGGCAGTCATACCTGCTTGTGGCTGTAGCCCATGGACTACAGTGCCCTAGTTGGATTTCCACAGATAAGCCAGCTTTCAGGGATGACAAGCCATTTCTCTAAATGCCTCTCCTCCATTTGGGAGAGGACACAGCTTGTTAGGACTCGTCCACAGTTTAGGCTTCTATAGCTGTCCTAGAAATACACTGCTAGGATGGAGCAGGAAGGACTTCTCTTTCTTCAAACTTAACCTTGAAGGGGCCATTTGATCTGTGGCTGCCTGGGCAGGCCCACAGTGCTATAGGAAATACTCACCTGGAGCAGCTACTGGAGTGGGAGGCTGACGCACAGCACTGCTCTCAGCAGGATATTTGTGGCTCCCAGTCTTGGGGAGAGGGTGAAATGTGACACTGGTGTATGAATTTTAGGTAATTTCAGACTTCTCTTTGAGGCCCTAGGACTAAGGGGAACGCACCTTGTTTAGTCTGTGTATAAATCTAAGTAAACAAAGATTGCAATGGTCTTTCATGAGGAAGGTGGAAAAGTTGCCCCAGTGGTGAGTTCCACCTTGTGGGAGAAATGCAATTAGTCATTTAACTGCAAATAAGTTGGTTCTCATGTGTGGAGATCCTGGAGCAAACAGGAAGGGCCAGAAGTAACTTAATAGATGAGGACAGTCTTGGTGCACCAGGCCCTTGTCCTGGGTGGGACACGAAGGGGCACATTGATGAGTCTGACCTAAAACGTCTCTGGGAAAGGGCTGGAGTTCTGAGTTCTCCTTTTCCTGACCCTCTCCTTGGTTTAGCTCGGTTTGTCATTCTGAGTTAAGTGTATTTCAAGGTAACTTGGGTAACATTGGGCCATTCCTCTCCTGAGGGGCGGTGAATGAAAAACATGGATATTGGCTTGCTTGCTGGGTGTCCAGCTGCCCTCAGCGTTGCACCAGGGCACCTACAGACCGATAGGGTGCCTTCATTGCATGCCTGTACTGGCCTGCTTGACCACTGGGATTGAAGAGGGCATGAGGGGAAGAAACGGGTATTTCCAAAGGCACTCAGAAAGCTCTGGCAGGAGGAGCCAGCAGTAGGGCACTTGTCCAAATCCCAGGCTAGCATCTGATAAGGCTCCTCTTATTCTGCAGTGGATGATGGTGAATGGGACTTGCTGATTGCTCACTTCCTTGGTGTGGACCACTGTGGGCACAAACATGGACCTGACCATCCTGAAATGGCTAAGAAGCTCACTCAGATGAATGAGATGCTCAGGTGATCGGAGTGGCTGTGGGGGTTTAGCAGCTTGCCTCTTTCTTCGCCCAGACTGGTGGGGTTTTCCTCAAGTGTTTACAGACACAGAGGGCAACAGAGAACACGTATTGTGCCGGTTACCACAGAGAACGGCTTTGACCAGCGGCAGCTGGAACCCCAGCTGTGCCACAGGGCAGTGTCAGTGCATGTGTGTTCATGTTGGAGTGACAAATCCAAAGTAAGATCAGCCTGAAACTTGTTCCTGGCGACATCCCTTCTGAATTGTCTGATGCATATGTTGCCCTGGGACCTGGGTGTTCATTCTTGCTAGCTACATCTACAAGGGCTTTTGTCAGTTTGAGTGGGAAAAAAGGTTGATTCCTTGATCAGTTGGTACAGCTCTGAAGCAGCACTTAGTTTTGCTCAGCTCTTTGTGTAGGCCTCACCTCCATGGTGCACGCAGTTTGGCGGAGATACGTCCTCTCTCAGCTGTGCAACCAGGGCAGAGGGTTGGGGTTGACCTTCTTTATCCTGGTGACAGGTCCTTGGTAGATCATCTGGGAAATGACACCCTGCTTCTGGTGGCTGGGGACCATGGCATGACGGAGACTGGAGACCATGGTGGGAACAGCGAGAAAGAAGTGAATGCAGCACTGTTTGTGTACAGCAAAACACCCCTATTTGGCACCGGCCCTCCCGAGGTGAGAGGATGTTGATGCTTAGGGAATTTTAGGCTACTGCCTGAGGTGACCTCCAGGGAGAAAACTGCATCCTGGGGTTACAGAGAGTAGCAGTTCGATGAGGATTGTTCAGATTGAGAGGGCCAGGGAGTCTGTCACCCTTCCTTGAGAGAACAGGGGAAAGTCTGACACAGGATGCAGATAGTGTAAGTTTAAAAGATAGGAATGTGATTAACGTCAGTTTCTGTTGAACAAAATCCATCTTATTGATTAGTAAAAAAATCTGATCGCAAAAACAGACTGCAGATGGGGTGAATGCAGGTTCTGTTGGGCTGTTTCACTTCTGTAGTAAATCTTTAGCACTTGGCTTGCTGCAGGGCTGAATGAGTGACAGGGCAGACAGCTCCCCTCAGGCCTCCAGGAGAGGGTTGGGATGGGGACGGGGCTTTACCTTCAACCTTAGAGGGCAGTGAGTGACCTGTATGTGGGGCCAGTGTTTGGAACCCATGTTCAGGCCTTTCAGCTGTGCTAAAGCAAGGCCAGGTGAGCTACCAGACAGCCTGGGTCAAATGCAGTTCCCAGAAGGCATCCTCCTCTTGCAGAGCACTCAGGGAGGAGTGAGCTGTGCCTGTGGTTTCCCCTGTATTTTTGCCCCTTCCTGGCCTCCCTGGTGTCTCCTTAGAACAGGGCTGCCTTCCCCACTGCTGGGCCTTTTCATGGGGCAGTGACAGCTGCAGGGCATCCTTCCAGATCCAGGCTAGCGGAGGGCATGACAGAGCATGGGTTTGGTGTCCCATGTGTGTGCCCAGCTGGCTGTGCCCTCTCTGGCCTGAGTGGAAAACCATGTTTTTGAGCTTTTTCCACTTTCCCGATTCCTCTGCTGTCTCTCCAGGAGCCTGAGGCCATTCCCCAGGTGAACCTGGTGCCCACTGTGGCCTTGCTGCTGGGTATGCCCATTCCCTACAGTAACATCGGGGAGGTGATGGCTGAGCTGTTCCCTGGGGATGGCGACGCTGTGTCTGCAGCCTTGCAGCAGCTTTCAGTCTATCACGTCAATGCCAAGCAGGTATGGCCGGGGTCGTCTTAGCTTCTTTTCCTGTTGTGTGGGTGGGCAACAGAAGGGCGAGACTGGCTGACAGTCATGGGGTAGTGCTAAGGGCTGAGCCATGGGGTCCTGACCGTTTTGGGAACTCGCAGCCCGCTATGCCTCATATGGGAGCTCTCAGACAAGCTCTTTGACACTGATTTATGGCAATGCTAAGCAGTACCTACTGCAGGCCTCCTTATTGAACTGGAGGGCAAGAGGAGTTGCTTTTTAAGGGCCCACCTCTTCTGTTTGGTGGGGGGTGGGACAGTGTTATCTTCATGGGGAAGTTAATTCAAAGAGTTACCTCCTTGTGGAGTTTGCTCCAGGAGAAGGCAGCGCCGCTTTCCCAAAAGAGATATGGGAGATCCAGTTTAGTACTTGGTGATGAGCACTATGGTTTAGAAAATCACTGATCTGAAAGTTGGTATGTACTTCTGGATAAGGTTTGGTCCCAGGTGATCAGTGGTGGATTTAGTCATGTGGGAAAGATGGTTCCTCAAAGGTGAGGAAAACTAGGGGCAGGTTTCATTAATGGAGATTCGAAAGTACAAATGGATGTTTTGATGCTTCTTCAATTCTGGAGGAGAAACAGTTTTAGCTAAAAAGTTATTTTAATTCAGTGATAAAAGGAAAGCAGCAATGAAGGATTAAATAAAACAAACGCTGCATAATAAGAGAGTAAAGTGGGATGGTAGAGAAGGATCGGTTTACACCTAGTGCTGCAAAATACAGAACCCCCACAGCTGAATGATGGCTGGCTGGCTGGGCCAAGATTGTGAGTGACTGAGAATATACCAGGCATAAAAGAAGCCCAGGCAATGGAACAAGGCCGTGCACCAGGGCGTGTCTGCATGTTTTTATGGAGGGCTGTCTGGTGCAGCTCCTGGCCTGTCACAGGATCACATTTGCTGCGCATGTATTGTGTTACACAGCCTGTTTCTCATGTAAGACCCTACTTGCCTTTGAGAGACCCCTGGATTGCTAGAAGCACACTCCTGGCCCAAGAATAACTCCTCTGGCCCCCAGTCAGCTTCCTGGTGTACCTGTGGGGCTTTTCAGGGAAGAAGCCAAACCAGCGTAGGCCCCGTTTTGGGTCTAGTGGCCTGGCTACAACCCCTCACATGTAGTTTGGATGCCGTTGGTGCAAGTCAGGGAAGAGCTGGAGACCATGTGATTGCTAGTGGGGAGGCAGAAGCGTTCAGCATCTCTGCTGTGTATTTATAGAGAAGAAGGGTGCTTTGTCATTGAAGGATGATAGTGTACTTTCCTGTCCATTAGTCACAACAAATATTGATCATCTGTTAGCAGTTAATATTATCCAGTCCTGCCTATTTAAATGTTTGCACTCAGTTGTCAGAGGAGGTTTCTGGCTTGATCACAATTTTGAACAAGGCATACCAGGGAGCTCATGCAAGCCTGGGAGAAAGCTAGTGGGTGTGTTTGCTGTTGTGGGCAGGGGCAGGCTGATTCTGCCTGTGCTCGGAGGCAACTGGAAGCCACGGGAATGTATCAGTGCAGGTCTGGGCTTGGGCGGATCTGCATCGCTGAGCAGCTGGATGTTTGCACAGGTGCTTCGCCCTGGTAATGCCCTTTACAGCTTTGGGATCATAGCTGGCTCTGTTCCTGCTGGCTTGAAGTGGAGGCAGAATGAGCTTTCCTGAGCTTATGGGACAGTGGGTTAGTGTTCTCATATTCAAAAAGGGAACAGTTTGGCCTGATTAGCTAAAAGCTGTTCAATTTGCTGTCTGCGCTCAGAAAAATATTGGAAAAGCTGACACTGGGCTCAGGTTAATAGCTAGTAGTGACTTGAACTTCTTCGGGAAGTTTGCCTCTTGTTATCCAAGGCTAATGTATACCAATGTGCGCCAGAAGTACACCTAGCAAGTTAAGAACTGGGTAGCTGAGAGGTGTAGGTGTATTTGTCAGGATGGATATGTCACTTTAGAGGTGTGTGACTTTAGCCAAATGACTATTTCCTGCTGGTCACACCTTGTGTTTGGGTGAGCAGTCCCAGGCGATACTGCCAAGGTCTATCCCAGCAGGGGTTGCCAGATCAGGGCTGTTTCCATTCTGAAGATGGCAGTGAAATTCCTTTCCCAGCGGTCCTAGTGTTGTTGTCTGACCCTGTGTCCCTTCTCCTATAGGTGGACCGCTTCCTGCGTTCCTACTCGCTGGTGGCTCAGGACCTGCCAGCAGAGCAGCTCCAGCACCTGCAGGAGCTCTTCTCCGGCGCTGTGGAGGAGCACGCTCAGCTCTTGGCCCAGTTGCAGGAGGCAATGCTGGTGTCTCCGGAGCTGGAATCCAGGCTGAGAAATCTGATCGGTCGCTTCCAGCTCTACCTGCGGGAGGCACGGGCTGTGTGCACCCAGTCCTGGGCCCGCTTCCACCCCCTGCGTATGGTGGCGGGCTGCACCCTCATCGCCGCTTCCTGCTTGCTCTGTTACGTGACCTCGGAGCTGGCGACAGCGTCGGACTCTTTCTATCGCAGCTGCCTCCTGTACCCACTGCTTTGGGGCCTGGTGGTGGCTGTTCTGCTTGGGCTGGCCTGTACTTTCACCCAGGAGGGGCTGGATCTCCTCCTGGTGTCATCATGGGCAGCTGCAGTTTCTCAGGTGGCCTTCTTCTGGCGCTGGTGGGGCCGGCAGCCCAAGCGAGCCCGTTTGGCGGGCAGCCAGCCACCCTTGGCCAGCGTTGGCCTGAGGCAGCAGGTACAAGCATGGCTGGGGCTGGCCTTCCCCATGGGCATTCTCCTCTTCCGCTGTGGAGCCATGTTCTCCGATAGCTTTGTGGTGGCTGAGGCCCGAGTGGCCCCGTTCCTGTTGGCCTCCCTGGTGGTGTTGCTGATAGGGAAACTCCATTGGGATGGTCACTTGACCGTGCCAGAAGGCCCCAAGCAGCAGCTTCTTGGCTTTTCCTCTTACCGTAAAGAGAGCTGGTACCTGCTGTACCTCGTGGCCGTGCTTCTGGTCTGCGTGCGCCTCTCCGTTTTTTTCCACCAGTGCCGTGAGGAAATCCCCCAGTGCCAGCCCTCTCTTTTCCTCGCCCCCCTTGCCAGCCTGAGGAACACACGGGCCAAGAACCTCTTCTACCTCCTGTGCGTGGCCTCGCTGGTCGGGCTGGTCTGTGTGGTGCGGTGGTGGCTGCGGCACTACGGCAACCTGAACAGCTCAGACCCCGTCGTGCTCTTTGTGCGCTGGGGTTTCCCACTGGTTGCCATCTGCATTGCCTGTTATTGGGCCGTTGCCTCCAGCGCTGAGGACTCACTCGGCAAGCTGCAGGAGCTGGTGCAGGTGGCACTTGTTGCCTTTCCGTGGGCTGTCTACGGGCTGGTGTCCGTGGGGCTGCTGCTCTTGCTGTGCAATCCCATGACGGTGTTTGCAAAGGACACACGGGAGTCAGCAGGACCCATCGTCACCCCCTACCTGGGGGTTCCCAGCTCTGAAGTTGACTTCCTCCACGTCATCCCTCAGATCTACAGGAGGATGCAGGAGTCCCTGAAGAGCCGCCTGGAGCGGGGCAGCTGCAAGGCCACAGTTGCAGCCTACGGGCTGGGCAGCGTGTACTCAGCAGCCTTGGTCATAGCACTTACCCTGCTGGGCTTCCTCTTGCTGCTTCTGCACAGTGAGCGGCTGAGTCTTGCCTTCCTGCTCCTCTTTCTGGAGGCCTTCATGCTGCTGCACATCCACAGCCGTGCCAGAAGCCTTGCTGGAGATGCTGGTGAGTCAACGCTCAGCAAAGCATCCTCTGGATGTGTGTTAGGCTGTGGCCTGGGCTTTGTCTTCAGTGGCCTCTTCTTATTCCCATTGGGAGAGGCAGGGCCCAGTTTCTGCTCCCAGGGAATGGGCGTGCACTGGTTTTCGCTCCTGTGTTTTACAAGAGCTGCTTAAATCCCCTGATAGAAGATGCACATGCAGCAGGGATGCAGCATGGGAGGAGGAAGAGGAGGTCCTTGTGTCAGGGAAGGGGGTTCTTCACCCATCGCTGCTCCCCAGGGTGCGAGCAGCCACCAAACCCCATCGCTGCTGGCAGAGCCCCGGGAGCAGGACAGAGCATGGAAGGGATGCCTGGCCACTCACCGTTCCCTGTGCTGGGAGCCTGACTAGTTTCTGTCTCAGAAGAGAGAGGGAAGGAAACCTGGAAGGAAACACAATATGCTTTTTTGGACTGTCGATCTCTCTCGATCCTCAATGCTGATATCTCTCTCTCTCTCTCTCTCTCTCTCTCTCTGCCTCTCTCTCTCTCTCTCTCTCTCTCTCTCTCTCTCTCTCTCTCTCTCTCTCTCTCTCTCTCTCTCTCTCTCTCTCTCTCTCTCTCTCTCTCTCTCTCTCTCTCTCTCTCTCTCTCTCTCTCTCTCTCTCTCTCTCTCTCTCTCTCTCTCTCTCTCTCTCTCTCTCTCTCTCTCTCTCTCTCTCTCTCTCTCTCTCTCTCTCTCTCTCTCTCTCTCTCTCTCTCTCCCTCACTATTGTTTTCTCTCTCTCTCTCTCTCTCTCTCTCTCTCTCTCTCTCTCTCTCTCTGCCTCTCTGCCTCTCTGTCTCTGTCTCTCTCTCTCAGAGCCTTTTTCAGTGCCCTGGCATGCAGTCATCTCCTGGCTCCTTGCTGCTTCCCAGTTCTTCTATTCCACAGGCCACCAGCCCATCTTCCCAGCCATCCATTGGAACGCAGCCTTTGTGGGCTTCCACCTTGACCACAGCACAAACCTCCTGCCCGCTGTCCTGGTGGGCGCCAACACGTTTGCCTCCCATATCCTCTTTGCAGGTAAATCAATTTCTTCCTGGGCTGCGAAGCCTCAGCAGGCACAGCTCCCTGCTCTGTCTGGTCTGGAGGCCTGCAGGCTTAGCAGAAGGTGATGGAGGCTCTAGCACCAGCTGAACAGCAGCATCTTCACTGTCCCCTCCAGGGGCCACAGAGCTGCCCATGGTCTGCAGCCTCCGTGAAGTTGTGCCTGACGAGCAAACTGGAGCTGGCACATATGCTTCCTGCACGCCCAGGGCGCGATGGCAGAGCCCACGCTGCTCCTCACCTCTAGGCTCCCAGTAACTTCCTGTGCCTTTGTCCTCGAGGTAGTCGGCTGCCCTCTGCTCCTGCTTTGGCCCTTTGTGTGTGAGACGCCCAGCTCACAGAAGAGGAAGCCCAAGAATGAGCCCCGGGAGGAGCTGCATAAAGAAGAGGAGCACATGATGGAGATGAGGCTGCGGGAGTCCCCGGAGAGGTTCTCTGCTGCTCTGCTGCAGCTGGGCCTGAAGTACCTCTTCGTCCTCGGGATGCAGGTATTGGCAGATGCAGATGGCTGTAGGGAAGGCTGTCCAAGAGGAGAATGGTGTGTTATCAGAGCCCCAAGGCACCTTGACATGAGGAAGGGGTCAGCCAGGGCAGAGACGGGCCCAGGGTTGATATGTCTGGTTGCAGGGGAAGGTCAGCTGCACAGGCCCTCTTCTCAGCACTGCCATTTGCTCTTTGCTTTGGGAAAGGCTCCAACAGGGAAGCAGCAATACAGATTAGGCTGCTTTTCATATCCACCTTTGCAGAGTGGGAGCATCTGTTCAGAAGCTGCAGGGTTATAATCCTGCTTCCCCTCTTTCTGACCATGCATATCCATTTGCACTGGCTCTGGTTCTCATTTGATCCAACGTTGTGGTGATGTAGGGAGCTGAACAGCAGAAAACTTATCCCATGAAAGAAATGAAAAGCTTTCTGGGGTTTAGCCCATCAAATCATCTCTCTGTGTGCAAGGGAAGGGGCAAGCCCTTACAACAGGAGAACAGCAACACCCCTCTCAGTGAGCTGTTAAGTCAGCTTATCCACAGTGTGAGTCCTCCCCTGTGCTGTCCTGGACTGGCCCTTTTCTTGGAGGGCCTGTATGTGTCACAGGCTGTTTGTCTTTCCTGGTTTGAGGCCACAATGGAAGAGTATCCTCTCTGGGATGCATATTTCTGATGTGTACTGTACTAGCCCCTCAGGTGTGCATGGTTTAGCACCAGTTTCCAATGTGCATCCATTGCCCAGGAGGTCTCTCCAGAGTCGCTTGTAACTTGTTTTTCCTGGTCTCCCCCACAGCTTCTGGCCTGTGTTTGTGCAGCTATGATCCTCAGGAGGCATCTCATGGTCTGGAAGGTCTTTGCCCCAAAGTAAGTCCCAGGAGTTGCTCTAATGCTGGATTAGGGCTCTTGTGCCCAAGCTCTCAACTGGTGTGTGTAGACAATAAGGCCAGAGGGGTGTGATCATTCTTGTAAGACTTCCTACCTAGCAGAGGCTATAGGACTGTCCTGAATTAATTCCAGCTTTGAGTCTAGAAGCTGATCTTGAACTAAAGCAAAGAAATTTTTTCTTGTCTTGATTTCTGAGGACATGCAGAGCCTACCATGTACCTGGTAGGCTGTCTGAGTGGGAATAGCCATAGGACCGTGGGATCCCCAGACTGGCCAGAATGGTCCTGCCAGGCAGGGGCAATGAGTGGGAGAATATTCAGGGCAGGGAGCCAAATATAGAGCTACCAGACCAGAAATGAGAAGCTAGTAGGCATGGGCTAGTAGGAGCATGGGAAGTCCTTGGGCTCTTAAAGTTTCCAAATCCCTCCTAGCTGTCTTCCTGAATGCCCTCTAGATCAGTAACTGGAAGGAAGGAACTTGAAGCCTGCTGGGCTTCCAGGTTGCAGGTAGCATCCACTGCTGGGGGGTGAATGTAATCAGGTTTTAGGATCTGGGATCCTCTTGCTGTCAGGAAAGTCATTCCGCTGGGAGTGAGGGTAACAGCTTGTCTTTGCAGGCATGCTGGCTGTGATACCTCACTGTGTCTGTTGTGCCCACAGGTTCCTCTTTGAAGCACTGGGCTTCATGGTCAGCAGCATCTGCCTCCTGCTGGGGATCTCCCTGGTGATGCGTGTGGACTGTGCGGTCAGTACCTGGTTCAGCCAGCTTCAGCTCAGGTAGCGTTGGAGATGTGGGGAGCCTGTCCTGCTCATCGGCCGAGGCTGTGGTTGTTGTCTCCCTGCCTCCCGGGGCCTGGAGGGATCCTAGAGCCACCAGCAACGAGTGCCTGTCGACAGCAGTCAGGGATTATCCCCAGCTCCCAGCCTCAAGCACTGCACAAAAGGACTGTTGCCAGCTGTTCCCTGCTCTTTGCGATGCTCTGCGGGGAGCATGTTTCTCAGCAGTTGGAGTTAGAGCTCTTGTTGGGCATTTGTTAGCAGCAGAGGAGTCTGCTGCAGGAGGCCAAGAAGCAAGAGTCCTGAAGTGCTCCTCTGGAGAAGCGCCAGCAAGGGGTCTTGCTGCTACTTTCCTGACAAGTCTGCCCACTGTGCAGCTGGTAGGCTTCAGCAGCTGGCGTGCTGCCCGGGATGTGTTACCTTGCTAAGACAGTGACCTGCTGGAAGGGGCGCCTGCTGAGGAGGGGAGGGAAGGGAGGAGAGGGAAGGCTCCAACTCAGCCCTGTCACTGGGTCCTGCAGCCATCGCCTCTTCTCTCTTCCTTGCGCGCTTAGTTTTCATGCTTGAATCAAAGTGCACATGATCATATATGTACAGTAGTCCGTTGGGGCTCAGTGGCAGCTGCTCTGCTCCAGCTGTAGAGTCAGTTGGTTGCTCTGCGGTAAGCCGTGCTCACTACCATTTTGGTCTTTCTCAACCCTGCTGAAGGGCCCTGTTGGGCCGAGGGGGCCAGGTTGGGTTGTCTCATACAGTGTGAAACAGGCTCAGCTTGTTGGAAGGGTGACAGCAGAGAACTGTGTCTGTGACTGAGAACCCCTGCACGAGTGGGCTCTGCCTGTTGGCTATCCACACAGACTGGCTATAGCAGTCAGGGTTCCCGATCTCTGCCTGAGCTTGTTGCGGTGGGATGCTGGCTGTTGATTGGGAACAGCTGAATTGCAGCAGGATGTGGTGATGGAGCATTTGACCCATTTCCATATTGGCTAATGTCAGGAGGAAAGGGGAGCCTAGAATAGCTGTCCTAACTCTGCAGGAGTAGCTTTGGTGTGGGCACTGGCGCCTGGGGAGAGCTGCTTGAAAGCCCTTAGGAAGGGATAACTTTTCTGCAAGGTGATCTAACCCATTGGTATCTACATGTGCGCCTGAGGTTATGTCACCTTGAAAGGATCCCCGGCACTGCAGATTATAGCATTTGTGATCCAATATATGGTGCTTCTCTCCCTCTTGACCGTGGTGTTCTGCATGGGACTCTGTGCTGCAAGTGAGCTATCATAATTCTGCTCTTGACTGCTTGCAGTCAGGAGGGGTTGTATTCCTTTCTTTATGTGCAGAGGTAAAGGATGGTGACCACGGTGCCTGGCCACATTCCAGTCAAATTGCCCCTGCAGTTTCGATGGGAGTTGGGATTCCTTACTCCCTGCCCTGAACCACTGTGTGGCGTTATTTGGTGCTATGATACTTTCATCTCTTTCCCTGGTGGAGGGCACATTACCTGCACTGTGTGGTGGGGCCACTCTCTGCCCTGACAGACCTGAGGACCACATGCTTGGGATTGCTGCTTTGAGTTTTGTTCCCAGTCCCTGTTTGAGTTTTGACTCGTGGACCGTGACTGCCTCCGAGCTCCTCGTTGCTTGCATAACTCCAGGCTCTTCCTCGCCTCTGCCCTGAAGAGTCTTGGGGAAGGCTGTGGAAAGTGTCTCTTGAAGGCAGGTTTATTTCTATATTTAGTCTCTATGGGAGGGTAACACTAGCCCAGGTGTTAGGGTGCAATTCCAGGGAGGCTTAAACTGATCAAATCTCGGGCTTCCATTGCTTGGCCACCTTCTGGCCTGCTGGCTGTGCTCTCCCACCACTGCCTTGCGTCTCCCCTGCCCTATGGGCCTCTCTCGCTTAATTTAACTGACAAAACCAGGGATTAGTTTGTAGCTGGCTTGACTCCCTCAGCTGGCTCACTGCCCAGTTCCGTGAACACCAGTGCTGGTGCAAGGAAGCAGGGAGGAGCATGTATTTGGGAGCTGTGGCAGCCCACACTGAGATTGGCTTAAGCAATCCTGCCTTTAAAATGGGTTATATGCTCTATCTTGGGTCTCCCTAGTGGCCAGATGGTTCTCAGGTACTGAGTGGGGCCATGCTGATGAGTGAGGGGTGCACTCGCATGTAGAGAAGGAAAGGGTTGGAGGCAGCAGCTATCCAGTGATTTTTGATTTGACATGAAAAGGTAAGTCCAGATAACACATGTTGCTAACCCCCAAGGCTGCGGCCCAAATAGGTCTTATAGTAAGCTCACAACGTGGTCAGGAGCTTGCTGCCTGAATGTATTTGTGCTGGCAGAAATCCTTATGATCGCTAATACTGTGATGCTGGCCCGTGACATTCCT